AGTTATGAAGCTCCTCATTATGCAGTTTTCTCCAACCTCCTGTCACTTTCATCCCTCTTCGGTCCAAATATTCTCCTCAACACCCTGTTCTCAAACACCCTCAATCTATGTTCCTCCCTTAATGCCAGAGATCAAGTTTCACACCCATACAGAACCACAGGCAAACTTATAATTTTTATGTTTTTGGACAACAGACGAGAGGACAAAAGGTTCTGACAAAGAGTGTTAACACGCGCTCCAGTTTCAATAATGATGCTGGTAACTGAAACTTCTCGTTGAAATTTCGCCTGGCTTTATGCTAGTGGTAAGAGCCGGGACAGCTCAGTCGGTAAAGCGACAGTCTACGGGCCGGACGTCCGAGTTTCAGTTCCCTGTCGGGACAAGGATTCTTCTCTTTTCCATAGCGTCCAGGCCGGCTCTGGGGCCCACCCTGTCTCCTGTCCAATTAGTACCAGGGGCTCTTTCCCCGTGGGTAAATCAGCCGGGACGTAGAACTGACAACTCACTCCTATCCAGTTTGTCGGTCAAGAAAGATGGAGCTGTACCTATACCCCAAGATTCTTCTTCATGACAAGGGACTTAATCAACCTTAAATTTTATGTTAGTGGTTATTAATTTGTACTATATCTGTAAGTAGCCGACATATTTGATGTCTTCACGGTGGCGAACATTGGTTTATGGTCCTCTTTTTTTTGTCCTACCACGTGGTCTCATCGGCGGTTACCGACGAACCGAGGGAACATTCTGTCTGAAGATGGTGTTAGGGTGTTCCTCCTAAACGCTACGGTCCACCAGTAATCTCTCGTCCGGCCACCATCCGTTTGCATAACTAACAAGTTTTGTTGAAACCCCCTTCGAGTCTAGAGACGAATGGTCCTTCGTGTCGTGTGTAAATTTACTGTCTATTTTTACGCGGCTCTTATGGGTGTTTTCAACATGGCGGCAACCCTTTACCCTCATTTCTTGAGGAATGGCAACAAATTGTCAAACGAAAATCTCCGTCGGTTCGCTGTGGATGAACGTCCAGTATTTTTTTATTTCTAGTTGGGTGGGACTAACTTCCTTGTACTGCGGCCACTTCTGGCATATTGTACCTGCCCCAGATGATAGGTGAGGGTGATTGTGGAGCAATTGGTGGAATGAAGATTGGCAGGGGAGCCGAAGTACTCGGAGAAAACCTGTCCCAGCGCCACTTTGTTCACCACAAATCCCACTTGACCAGACCCGGGATCGAACCGGGCCGTCGCTGTGGGAAGCCAGCGAATAACCGCTGGAGCTGTGGCGTGGCCTGACAGGCAGTAACTACGTATAACTGTAACATTATCGCTGATTTCCACATCAAAAATCACTTTTACTAGTCTTTACTTGGTAACAGCTCCCAGCAATGTCTGTTCCCCATGGCCGTTAATTTCAGTTTTCCAGACCGGAGCAGCTCTTTCTTTCAAATAGCACCTCAATTATCCTCACGAGGCAGAGTGGACCGCATTTGAGACACACTACTTCTCAGAAAATCGGACCCGGGATCTCTGGATCTGTAACCAAGAACTCTGACCACTAGACCACAGAGACTGTCACACGTGAAGAATTATCTGTTTTAAGTTATGTGTCTGCATTGTAAATACTGCCACAGGACACCGCCGACCCAAAAGACCACGGTATGATATTAGCTCAGTAATGTCAGTTTTTGTAGCCCAGACTTTCTGGTATGACTGTCTCCTTCCGCTCATGTTGTATGCGAGATCTGTGCGTTATTGATGGTACCCTACCCTGAGGGTATGCATACCCCTGTTGTACGTCTCTTATGGACGCAATGTACCCCGAGAAAAGTAACATAAAGGGGTGCTTACAAGCTGCGTTGATACGTCTGAAAATCTCTGTTCAGCCCTGCAGATGTTGGATACTGCTTACTTTGTCTTCAGATGCACCTCAGCCATGTCGCACACTGACACGTACTGAGGGTCGGATATACGTTTCAGTACACAGTGACGAGAACTACAGGACATTTTCGTGTCAGCGTGTGGCAAGCCATGTGCTCTCACTGTAGTTTCTTCAGAGATAACAGCTGTGCATTGGCATACCTTTTTTTTTTCTCAGCTTGAGCTTTGGCTGATCCCTTCGCGAGAAGCCGCCAACTGTTAAGATACTCAAGAACTTCCCAGCATTTTATGGAACCCGAAGGTTCATCACCATTTTCACAAGAGCCCTCCACTGGTCCCTATCCTGAGCCAGATCTATCCAATCCATACCTTCCCATCCTCTCTCTCTAAGATCCATTCTAATATTGTCCACCCACATACGCCTTGGTCTTCCCTGTGGTCTCTTTCCTTCTGGCTTTCCCACCAATATCCTATACGCATTCCTCGTCTCCCCCATTCGTGCTACATGACCTGCCCACCTCATCCTCCTTGACTTGATCATTTTAATTATACTTGGAGAAGAGTTCAAGTTATGAAGCTCCTCATTATGCAGTTTTCTCCAACCTCCTGTCACTTCATCTCTCTTCGGTCCAAATATTCTCCTCAACACCCTGTTCTCAAACACCCTCAGTCCATGTTCTTCCCTTAATGTCAAAAACCAAATTTCACACCCATACAGAACCACAGCCAAAATTATAGTTTTGTATATTCTGATTTTTTTATATTTTCAGACAGCAGACGAGAAGACGAAGGGTTCTGTACTGAATGGTAACAAGCATTACCCGAGTTCAGTCTCTTCTTAATATCCTCCTGAATCAGGTTTTGATATGTTATCGTCATTCTCAAATATCTGAGCTGTGCCACATTTTCAAAACATCTATTTCCTATCTTTATGTCATTATTTTACCCTGGATTTTGGTGATGAGACAGCAACATATACTTGGTTTCTCTATGTTTTTTACTGGTCCAGCCTTTTTTTTTTTATTATTGCTATTAGAGTGGGACTAAGTCCCTTGTACTGCGGCCAATTCTGGCCTATTGTACCATACCCAGATGATAGGTGAGGGTGATTGTAGAGCAATTGGTGGAATGAATATTGACAGGGGAAACTGAAGTACTCGGAGAAAACCTGCTCCAGCGCCACTTTGTCGAGCACAAATCCCACTTGACCAGACCCGGGATTGAACCCGGGCTGCTGTGGTGGGAAGCCTGTGATTAACCCCTTGAACTATAGCGGCCTCCGTATTCTAGAGGTAACGTTCCCACCTCATGACTCGTAGTACGCGGGTTCAAATACCCGGCGGAGGTCGTCGAATTTTTAAGGGCGGAAAAATTCAGGGAACAAGTCCTCCGGGAGGGACTTTAAGCCGTGGGTCCCGTGTCGTAGCTTTACGGCACGTAAAAGAACCTCATACCTCCAAAGGAGGTCACTTAGCCAAAATTGCGGACGTTTCCCGCCCAACAAGCAGTCACTAATACCTACGGTAGATGGGGGAAGCATTATAGATACTTCTCAGCCAGTAGAGCCGGTCTCGCTGGCTGGGCGGGACTGATGGTAAGCACCAATACCGGTAGGATGTAGAGTCTTGTAGAAATCATAGAGGGAAGCACAATGGACCAATACAGGACTAAGTGCATGGAGAAACCCACCCTCTCTTATAACTAACTAACTGACTAACTAACTATCCCCTTGAAGTATGGTGTGGCCCACCAACCACCTTACTTGCGTCAATTAAAGTTTGTGTTTTTTCTTTATGGTATCTACATTATCACCCAGTAGATTCACATCATCAGCATAGACAACAGCTGATGTGTCCCGTTTAATTTCAGTCCCACCTGGTTTTCCTGGACCTTCATAATGGCTTATTCTAAAGCAAAGTTGAAAAGGAGTGGCGATAAAGCATCTCCTTATCCTAGACCATTCTGGATAGGAAATTTGTCACAAATTGTTTACCTATAAGGACTTTACTACACATTTTATTTAAACAATCTGCTGCCCTGAATGATCAGGCATCAAGTATACTTGAATGCCATCTCCTACATATCAAAATATGGTCGATTTGATTGTGTATCTTCCCATCAGGAAGTAAATTTATGGATGTTACGATGTGGGAACGTTGTACTTTTGACAGTAAGTTTTTATGAGGTGGCAAAGTTTACAAAGTTTACTCTAACTCATTATCATTACTAATTTCTTTCAAACTGTCATTTCCAATCATTGGTTTGAAAATATCTTCCCTCCCTACTTTGGCATCGAAATCTCCTAATAGAATTTAATAGGGTACTTTAGGAACTTATCAAATACATGTTCTAGTTCTTCATAGAACCTGTCCTTTATGTCGTTAATTTTATCTTTGTTGGGACATGAACATTCATAATGATGATATCACCAGCGACCTTTTAGTATTATATGTGATAGCCTATCACTAATGAACTCAACCCTCTTAACTGTTGATACGATTCTCTTATGAACGATAGAATCTGTACCTAATTCGTGATATTCATTCCCCTTTCCATAGAAAAATGTATAGTCTCCTGCTGTACGATGCCACCTTCAACCCATCTGTCCTCCTGCACTCCCGCCAAATCTAACTTACATTTTAAGATTTCTTCCGCCACTGTAAATAATTTTCTTGAGGAGTGCGTAGGGCTGACAACCTTACCACCATCTTTGAGCCAATTGTCTAGATAATGTGGGACCCTCAACGTCTCACAGCCCTGTGGGCCCTCACGGCCTGTTACAGGGATAGCTTTACTTACTTTTCCCTGCCCTGAGTGAACCTGCCCTATACATACTTCTAGCATTATTGCTGGAAATTAAAAAGTACTGCATTTGAGTGACCTCAAACAACAGAATGTTCATAGCACATTTCATGAAAATTGGTCAGCTGCTTCCAAAGGTCAAAGGGAAAAAATGGTATGCTGATCTCGTTACTTCACTTCATTTCAACACTAGAGGGAAGCAGTATAGAAAGTGGGCATGTTTAGATCAAAATAAATAAATAAATCTTGTAAACTTCAGAAGTTTTATATTTAGTGTAAAGAAGTCATATTCACTTTTACAGATTTTGCTACCATCACAAATAAACCACTGCTTTTAATGGCGCCTTTCATAACTTACGAAGATCTGCCACAAATGCATTAATTTAGCAACTGTAATTACATCTGGAAAAGAAACTCAACAGTGTTATTTAGTGCTTTAATAGTGCTGAACTTTAACTGTGGTACAAAATAACATTTTCCTGTAAAGATTTAAACACAGTAAATTTACATGCAGTTCTTTCAATATTTCACCTCTCTGTAAACACTTATGTGTATATACTGATAGAAAATTAATGTGTCTATTCTTGTTTCACTTTATATTTACAATTGGTAAAGTACATACAGTCACTGCAAAAATATGCTACCTCAAACACCAACTGATCACCTTTTCTTCTCTATGCAATGCTATAACTGTTTGCTTGATATGAGAATCCGTGAGGGTCTTTTCCAGAACTATACACTAATATAAAAAAATAAAACTCATCTTGGGCAGTATATACCGATAGGCGATACTATTAGTACGCTGGCAGTGATCATCAACTCCAAAGTAAACCGGTCTCAAACCATACGAATTGACACATGGATTCTCAGATTGCCGTAATATGCAAGACGTTTGCAGGTGGGGGCGCCAAATCTGAGACAGTCAGACCTCATGATTATTGCGAAGATTGGTTCAAGGATGGATCTTGGTGTTGATTCCCATGTCAAATGTTTTCTTTGGCCTTCCAGTTCTAACCTGTATACAAATTTTTCAGCCTGTTTCCTTGATCCAATCAGTTGTACTATAACAAAGAACTGTTCGCATCCATCCAGGCTCATATGGTTGTCAAGTAGCAACCTAAAATGGTGGCCAAAGCATGTCTGCATCTTGACCCAGTACCCTGCTCCTGGCTGATCGATGTCACTTGCTGTGAATACAACATCCTCTCCTTGAAGAGTTTTGATTGATTTATGAGACGTCATAATGTGAGGCATCATCTTCTTAAGGCAACCTTGCCACTCGCAATGCCCGTAGAGCACCTGGAACGGACAGGGGTATGGCCGGAATTCACACGCTTCTTCATGTTCCCTCATCTCAGTGCGTAGAAGGGCTACTGCACAGCCAGATGGTGAATATTTGCATGGGAACGTAACAGCCCTTACAAATTCCTTCATTTCGAACTTCCGTATGTTGCCCAAAGGTGCCCTGCATTTTGGACAACTGTCCTTGGATCGACACTTAGAACAAATAAGATGTCCCTTATGACACTGCAATACTGGGGGCTGAAAATAATCAGAACATGCTCGACATTCGTAGAGCCTCGCTATGTCTCCAGAAACAGTTCGTGCTTTGGTCGCCTTGGCTGATGTACTGTTATGATCCATCTGCGGAAATCGAATCCCTCACTTTTACCTGCGAACAGAGAAATAGAAATAAATATAGTCAGATTATTCTAAAAGCTAGAGATAAACTCAACTATAGGAAGGCCTCATATCTGCGATGGATTGTAGGACCAGTCGGCTGGAGACGAATCATTCCGCGTACCTCTGCTAGTGGGCATTCATCGCTAAAGTGCGATAATTAGTTAACTCTAATTATCAGTTCTCGAAATTGGATCGTATAGACGAAAATCTCAGAAAAGTTGATTACCCATGATTCCAAGAAAACATGTCAATTATTTTACCACGTCTGTTTCTTCCGGTCATTCTGTTTCTGTCACATTGTGCACAGGCTCCTCCTTGGGAAGCTGACAAGAAACGTTCCCACATTATGGAAGCAGAGAATTCATGACTGTAACCAACACCAGGGGCTAGTTTCACATATGAAGTTCCTTATGAATTTGTTTCACCCGAATATGCTGTATGGGCGACCCTCTTAAATGTCCTTTGTTAAATTGCAAAATAATTCCAGACTAACGAAACAAAACTTTCTCTTTATTATACCAATTTTGACACCTATGCCGATTATGTCAAGACAGTTATATATAACACAGGCCTACAAAAAAAAAAATTTTTTGGTGTCTAGGATTTTAGAACTAATTTTAGTTAAAATTAAGGGCCTGAATCTAAATATAAAATCAGTTTTTCTCTACCAGCTCTA